CTAGAAATCTCTAATATTCAAATATATAGAAAATCTTTCCTAAACCCAGATTTCAGCAATAAACACTTACCAAAGGAACATCATCATCACTTACTGAACCTTCTGGTTCACGTTTTATCTTTATTTTCAGAGGACTTTCTTCTTTCACAATGTGGCTAGAGCGTTCTATCTTATCGGTGTGCACAATCTTTTTCTTCACATCAATTCTGGCATCTCCTCCTGCTCTTCCTTCTTCAAATTCTTTGGATATATCTTTTTTTTCTCCATGTTCTCTGTTCTTCAATTTGTTTTTCTCATTATTTTCTTTCACTTTAATCTTTTCTTTTTCACTAATATCTTTAATCTTGTTGCTCCCAGTTTTAAGTTTTTCAGATGAAGAACTATGCTTTGACTTTTCTCCATGATGTTTGTCATTCATCTCTTTTGATTCATGCTCTTTATATTCACTAGATTTGTGCTTTTCTTCTCTGAATTTCTCTTCTTCTTTCTTTGGTTTTATGGCTTTCTTTATTTTCCTTTAACTTTACCCCTTCTTTCTTACTGGTTCCTTCACTTTTTAAAATATCTTTTGATTTGAAATCCTTTTTTGCACTATCACCAATTTTTGAGGAAACACCATCACTAGACTTGTACGATGAATCCTTTGGTTTGCTGCTTGATTCTTTGGGTTTCACACTTCCTTCTTTGGTTTTATGCCCAGTTGAATTTACTTTTTCTTTGTCCTGAGATTTTTCCTTAAGTTTAGAGGAATCACTTTTTTCCTTATGTTTAGAAGAGTCATTATGTTTTATAGATTTAACTTTAGATGAATTTTCTTTTGAGCTTGAAGAATGTTTTAAGTAAACTTTGTCTTCATGATGTTTACTAGAACTGGTTTTATGTGAATGAACTTTGTTGTTATTGTCTTTATTCTCACCAGGCTTCATCATTTTGATGTCTGATTTACTAGAACTAGACATTCCAGATTTTGTTTTGTGAGGCACATGATTAGACACATCTTTAGACAGGCCATTTGTCACCAGTTTTTGCATTCCCTTCAGATCATCTTCAAAAAACAAGACATACCATTAAAGCTTAACAGAACAGACATAAAAACAAGATGTGCTTACCACACTAATTAAAACTCTATTAATAGTTTTACATACTACACAGACAGTGAGGTGAATATTATACATATATGAATGTGAGCAGGACTAATAAAAATCTACAGTATTCATAAAAATTTTGAAATGTTCAAAATATGTTTCAAGTTTTGTTGCAAAAGAAATATAGATATGAAAGATTATATTTAAACTGTGTTCACTGCTTCGGTTGGTGGTTTTAGTGATTCAAGGGGTAAAATAGGTTTGAAATGTGTTTTTTTTTTTTTTGGATAGGAGTATAGTTGTGAAATGTCACATTTCAATTGAAATGGTTGCTTTGGTTGGTATTTGTAGCAGATAAAAGGGTGATTGCAATGGGCTGAGCAGTCTTCAGCACATAAATTGTTGTTACTGTCCTATTCTAAGCAGGTATATCACTAATGATAGTTAGTACAATAAATATTCCAACTTGGAATGATTCATTCATAACAAGTTATAAAATAATGATGGCTACAGTTATTCTACATAAAATATAATAAAAATTTTATTATAAACAAAGTAATACTTTAAAAGTCACTTTTCAAACACTGAAAGCATACCAGAAACCAACAGGCCTATAATTTATGACAAAACTCATCTAAACTGCAGACTTTTTTCCCCATATATCTCCCAATTTGTCCACTTGGACTCAAAAGAATCCCCATTTCTCATTGTCCAACCCAAATGATGATTTCTGGTACTGACCAAAAAGGAATCAAGACAATGATTTGTGGGAAACAGAAGACAGAACTGAAATGCTGTTTTTACACACCTCTGATTTTGACTCTGAGGTGGACAAATTGGGAGGAATGTGTAAAAACAAAGACACCCACAGTTAAGTTTGTACCAACAAGATACTATAGTTTTTTTTTACAATTATAGAACCTGTAATTAACAAAGTCATGAGTCCACAGGCAATTTGATGCATAAAACAGTTTAGAAAGATGAGTTTAAAATGTCAAATAGGAGTTTGGATACCATCAGTAATTCTGGTGCTCAATATCCATGGAAAATAGGAAGTCTCTCATTCACAAAAAGAGACAGCAGCAAAATATATGTCTGTGAAAGTTATTAATGTAAAAGACCAGCAGGACCCAAGGTGCTCTTCTGTATGTTTGACCTTTATGCTGTTCTTCCTTCTAGGACCTTGGACCCTAAAATTCCTCTTCATTCTGCATCCATAGATACTTTTATTTACCACAGTCACTAAACTGTTTAAGTTTCTTTTTTCATTATTAGTTTCATTAACAATATTGGCTAATATATTTACTATATATTCAATCTATTCTATATATATATATTATGAGAATCATTTTAAAGAAAAGTTAAATATAACTTTTTTAAAAGAAATGTTTTGATTTGTTCACAATGAATAACATATATCATTCACTAAAAATGTTAAAGCTTCTCATATTCCTTTTGTGTTGAATCCACTCTGTATGACCCTTTATGTTGATATATATTTCAAAGCTAAAACAACTGAGCTGAGCAACACAAAAAATGTTGTTTCAGTGGCTTTCTTCAAAACAAAAAATGCTATTTTACTAATAGCCAAACATTTACCTAATATTTATGCCCCCTAATTGATTTTCACTTCTTGCTGTTTTCTTTAACTACTTTTACATGAAGAATAATCCTTCAACTAGATACCAGTGTAAAATTTGAATAACTACTTTATTTTTATTTTTAATAGATTTTTCACATCAAATTAGCTCAACAACAAGAAAAATGAAGTGACTTGAGGGCAGGGGCATCAGACACACAAAAAATATAATTGGCCCAAATACCCAATAATGTTTATTGTTCATACCAATACACCAATATATGTACAACCATTTCCCGGGTTATATACACATGTTTCGGGTAAAATAAGTAACAAGTCATACAATAAGAGCAGGCCTAACAGTGTATTCTAAAACATCATTCCATATAGATATATGTGTGTGTGTGTGTATAGTGTGTAGCACATGTAGCACACTACCTACAGTAACTGTACAAACATGTGCACACAGTGAAGACATTATACAAGGTACAAGTGAACAAATCTCTTCACTGATGATCGACAGTAAACTGATTCCAGAAATTATATTGAACAGCATCTAACTTGATAGGCTTCATTCATTTTGACAGAACCAACAATATGTGCAGTGAAGATATTATACGAAGGCTAAGTGAATGACTATCTTCACAGAAAAGTGATTCCAGAAATAATCATGAATAACATCTAACTTTCACTCAACACTAGCTCAACTAACAAAAACTGACAATATGAGAAGTGATGACATTATACAAGGGAGATGCAAACAACTACCTACCTTGATGGGCTTCACTTATTCTAACTCAACTGACAGAACTGTCAAGTCTATCTACCACTGTGCTTTCTCTAGACAATCTTCAATGCAGAGAGAGAGAATTTGCCAGAAAAAAGTGTGACTGAGAGAGTTAAAATCAAGCAATAAAGAAAGCTCAAGTTTGGATACATCTATCTGAGTTCCTCCTTTACCATATGCAAGTAAGATTTGATAAATTCATTCAGTTTGAGAAGCTAGATGACTTCTATAACTGGTCAAGTACACACTTGTAATCTGAAGCCAGAAAGTCAAAGTTGACATTTTGAAACACTAAACAATCAGTAACATCAAGAGCAGCAAAATGTTTTCAGAAAAATTAAATTCCTAGGGTATTTAGCATAAAAATCCAATGCTTCATAAAGGAATGTGATTCAGTAACAATCTCTGCCAGTCAATATGACTTGAGTTTTGAAATGTACATACAATGTGTAAAAATAATTCTAGTGCAAGGTTCTGAATAAGTAACACCAGTACTATCTACTGTTGCAAAATGCTGATCAAAAGTTTCCTCATATCTCAAGCTTTCAAGTTCTAAAACTGACAATTTAACTTGAATTAGGTCCAAAACATTTGCCTTTTCTAGGTCTTCATTGCCAGTTAGCTCTGCTGAACCCTTTCTGGACAGGTGATTACCTCTCAGGTGTTGAGGGCACACTTGCATATCACATTTCAAACTTTAAGTAAAAATAATAATTCTAACTCTGTTCAACAATGTTTTAAAGAAAAAACAATTTTTCATCTTGAACCATATATTTAGTATAATTTGCAAAGAAAAATGAAAAACAAATTTAAACTTACATTTCTGCACAGCTCCAAAATACCTCATCTATACACAACACATTTTATAGATTCTTATATCATTTTTCTGGCAATTACAACCCATAGGTTTAAATTTGCTTAGATATTATGACCCATTGAGAATGGTTTCTCACTTGATTTTCCTTCTCTTTCTCCTATTTTATTAGAATATCCCCTCATTCCCAACCTTTTATGACCTCACACCATGTGATGTGAACTACTACTAATGTAACTCTGGTTTGAAAATTGCTAAAGCCAAAGTTTATACCAATGGAAAGAGCTGATGATAAAATATTTACGGGAATGTAGAGTAAATTAACTGGTGTCAGAAGCAATTTATGGTTTTGTGGGAAAGTGATTAGATATAGCTCCTGCAAAGAACAACAATGGTTTATTTTGAATTTCACATAAATCTACAGGACAACTATGTATGCTAGCCGTCCCTAATTTAGCAACAAACGACCAGAAAAAAGGCAGCCAGTCATCACCACTTACCACCAACTTTTGGGCTACTCTTTTACCAATGAAAAGTGGGACCATCACTATAAAATGCCCCCACAGCTGAAAGGATGAGTAATTTTGGTGGGATGAGTATTCGAATCTGCAACCCACAGATTGTGAGTTGAGAGCCCTAAACACCTGACAACAATGGAATATAGTATGAAACTTAGAAAATTTAGGAACAAATCATAGATCTGGGAATTTTTATAGCTTTTTCAGATGATCTTTTCATTCCTGAAAATGTATGTATTAAATTAAATTAGATTGAAAGATATGGAAATTTTCTTTAGTTTATTCTCATTTCGTCTACTTTAACCCTCTTGAGACAGGTCACAGGTGAATGGCCATGTCACCTCGTTTGTTGGCTTGCATTCAAAATTTTATTGAACTACTATTTCATGAATTTATGTCAATAAGTTTGGTATTAAACTGTAAAATTAATAAATTGAGTAATGTATAATTCCAAAATTTGAATTATAATCTAAAGTAAATATTGAAAAAAACACAGATAAACATCAATTTTTTGTGTGTCACGTGGCATGTTGAATGCTGCACAGGTTCAAATTAGATGTTTGTGAAGTCAAAATACTAAGTCTAGAGTTTCATAAGAATTAGAAACTCAAATATTGATATTGATAAGTTAGAATATAAAATAAGAAGGTCTTATCTTGTCTATTTGCTAAGATATTGCTCATGTAATAATCAAACACAGTG